CCTCTTGGAATATGGGGTGATTGATTGAGAGGCCATAAAACCATTCGGTTAATATGAGGTACTGATTGTCGAAATTCCAGTTTGTGCCTTTTGCAACTCTTTCCTTGTCTTCTTTACTTTGGAACAGAAACTGAAAGAAGTTGTGCCCTAATTCCTTGACCTCCATAGGCAGAGATAATCGCCAAATGTTGCTCATAGCTCGCTTGATTCCAACCCAGCTGGCCTTTCGATCCCCTATGACTTTCCCAAAGAGACTGCGTTCACAAATTTCCGCACTTGGTTTAATGTCTTCTTGAGCAATGTCAATAATAGGGGCTTCTCGATCCGATAACGAAAAACCATGAAGACGCTGTGAAAGTTCTTCATCTTGGCCGATGCACGCTGAAGATCCCATTGAAGGTGGGAGGTTTAGGAATCCCCAAATTGGGAACCCCAAAAAATCGATAAACCCTAGAAAGAATGCCAAATCACTCCAGCCCCACGAAGATGCTAAAATATTATATCACTAGTACAACTCCCGTGTATTACACGGGTGTTTGCTAATTTTTTTTTCTTAAAATCAAAAATTTCTGAGAAATAATAGTTAAAAATTTAATTACCTTTTATAAAAATATACATTATTATATATTTAGTATGAAACTTTTTATTTGTGCGACTTACCTGTGTTATATTATAATAATTTTATTAACTTACAACATATAACTACATTAAACATAAATATATCAATTGAGAAATAATTTTATTTTTCTAATGAATTTTAATAAATATAAATATTTTTTATTATTATAAATATAAATATAATTTATTTATTTATTTCAATATATACAATATGGATGGCAAATCGAAGATCATCAAAGGATGATTAATTTGATATATTATATATGTAAAACCGATAAAAAAATACAAAAGTTATCAACTTTTAAAATATATTTACAATTAAATAGCTAATTGAAGGAAACAAATCAAAAGTCAAGGATATATTAGTCACTTAGTGTCTCACAATGTAAAATTACAAGAAATTAAAGGGTTATATTAGTAAAAGTGATATTAAAATACCTAAATTAGCTAAATAATATTTATGGAATTTCCAAACCTAGATTATTAATTATTAATATATCAATATTATTTGTCCAAACCTAATTACGAAGCATGATTCTTCGCCAAGTAGGATTCCGAAGCACCAGAAAAAATAATAAATTTGTACCACTAGAATGAATTATAGTGAAAGAAAAAAGAATAAATTTGTACCACTAGATCTATCATATCAATGATCATGATTAAGTGAAACTTTTACTAAATAATAGTCAAACATGGAGTTACATATATATTTAACCACTCATTAAGGGTATATGTGTCATTAAACACAATACCCATGGACCCACCTATACTACACTCACCCAAACTCACGTGTCACGTCACTCCCACACCCCACCTACCCCACCTGTCACCCATCTCTCACACACTTCACACCTACCGTCTCTCTCACACTGCACACACACTTCACACACACACACACACACATGCATATACACACACATATACATACATTCTCTCAGTATACACATACAATATCTCGCCGCCGGACACCACTAATCAGCTGTTGCCCGCCGTCAACCGCCGCGCTTCCGCCTACCGTAGATTGAGAAGGTTGCCGGCAACCAGTTCCTCCCATCCATGGCAGCTCAGCCGCACGCAGCTTCAGTTCCGTCGAGATGCCACCGCCTCAACCAGCTAAAGCTCGCCACCTGCCACCGCGCCTCCGCCCACCGTAGCCTGAGAAGGCCGCCGACAACCGATTCCTCCGCTTCAGGGTAGCTATGCCGCACACAGTTGCGATTCCGACGAGATGCCACTGCCTCAACAAGCGAAAGCCTGCCGCCGCGCCTCCGCCGACCGAGACTGAGAAGGCCACCTTCCAGCAGTACCTCCCCTCCAGTGCAGCTCTGTCGCACGCCACTGCGATTCTGACGAGATGCCACCGCCTCAACCCCAAAAACTACCACTCTGCCGCCATCGAACGAGACATCCGCCAGTCCATCGCCTTGCTCAGCGGCAGCCCACCGGCGACTCCGCACACGCAGCTCAACTCGGCCTCAGCCGGCGAATTTCATCGCTTAGATGAGTAGCAATGAAACTACTTATAATGTTTTGCATAAGTAGCAATGAGACTACATGTGATGTGATATATATATTATTTTGGGGCTTAGGAAATCTACCCATCATAAGTTATGTGAACTCTAGTGTTTAAGTTTGAACTCTAAAGATATAGAGTTAGACTTTCGACTTTACGAGCTCTTTGTTGTGAGTTTCGATGTGAGGTTATTAAAAGTTGAGTGTCTGTACCAGTTTGGTCGCTGCAAAAATTGTTCAGTGTCCTCA